TAACTATAGAAACAAATTGAAAGAAAAAAAATATTAATAAAATAGAATAAGTAATAAAAATGAGGTAATAAAAAAATAAAATAATAATAAAAGAAAAGAATAATAGAAAGAAAGTAATAATAAAACAAAATAATATAATAAACAATAAAAATAAAATAAAAGAAGAAAATGAAAAAGAAGGAAGTAAATTGAAAAAAGGGAAAAAAAATAAAAAAATTGAGACAGAAAAAAATAATTGTAACTAAATCAATAAAATGTGGGTGTCAATAAAAAATCGAATTTTTCTTTGTTTAAAATAATAAATAAGTTTCGACATTGAATAAAGTGTGTTAAATGGAAGCTTCATTGTTGCCTCGTGTTTAGGACTTTCTCAGAAGTCAACAAGCTCCTTGCTAATTAGAAAGTTCACTAACCCTTTTATAACAGTTTCGAGCATCTCCCTCGTTATTAGAATATTTTAACTTTCAAATAATTTTCAAAGTTTATTGACACAATATAATTTTTTCCTACTTTTCATTTTTCTTTTCTTTCTTTTCTTTTTAAAAAGCTGTAATTTAAAACTACTTATAACATTAATTTTTCTTTTTTTTTTTGTTTTCTGTAATATGTCAAAGAAGTTAATTGTTTGTATCAACAAACTGCTTCATTTATTTTATAAAACAAAACTTTAAATAATTAGATGCGCGAAAGTTTCATTCACTGACTCTCTCACTCTCTCTTTGTGTGAATTATTCAAATTAAAATTAAAAATACTTTTTCAATTATCATAAAATGAATTTAACATGTGCATTACTAAATTTATTCCTGGTTACTTTTATACTGTTTTTTATTTCATTTTTTATTGTTGATAATGTTTGTGTAAGAGGGGAAAAAAGAAGTATAGAAACGTTTTTCTTTTGAGAAGAAATTTTGGAAATTTCATTTTTTTTAATTAATGCAATTTAATTGTTTATCGCTTACTTAAAAAAAAAATTTTCTATTTATTCTTTTCACTTTTTTGTTGATTTTTTTTTTGTTTCTTTTCGTATTTTTCTTTATTTTTATTTTTTCTTTTGTTTTATTTGTTTGCTGTCCGTCGATTTCCGATAATAAAATACAAAAATTCTTTTATGAGAGTCAAAAAAAAAAAAAAAAAAAATGATCAAGTTTTTACAAGTCCTTTTTTTATTTATCTGAAAACTGTCTCACTAAAGAGGTGACATTATACTTTTGCGAATCTCCGGCAATGTACAAATGGACTAGATACGACACTAAGAGCTGAGAAAGAGACAAAAGAGGCGCAAAACCGCCAAGGGCGCTGGTAAATAGTAATGATTCTTTCTTTACAAAAAGAAAATTTAAAAAACGAAAAATCGGACTTTAGAAACTTCCTTCTTTTAGTTTTGTATATCTTGTTACAATTTCACATTTTTTCATACCCCAATACAAAATATATTGTTGAAAATTATTTATTTTCATCTCTAAATAAATGATTACAGAAAAAAAATTAATTTTCTTCTGTAAAGCTCTAAATGTTTACAAAAAAATTTATATTTTACTTTAAATAAATGTTTAGGAAAAAAATTAATTTTTCTTCTCTTAACAAATGTTTTAATTTTTTTTAAGCAACGATTTATAGAACAGTTAAATTTTTTCTCTAAACAATTGTTTATAATAAAATTAATTTTTTTCTTTAAACTTTAAATTTAAAAAAATCAGTTTCTTAGACTCGTTTTGTTTCACTGAAAATAAATGTTGTTTTCAATAAAGAGAGGGTTTTTGATTCAAAGAAAATTTCTTTGATTTAAACAACTTTTTTTATTTAAACAAATTTTTTTTGAAATAAAATTTTTGTGACAACACTAAATTAAATAAACGAATTTTTAGACTTTTTTTCTATTTTTAATCGACTAAAGCAACTTTTTTTGTTCGTTAAAATCGATTCGAAGCCTGTATGTAGTAAAATTTACTAATTGAAATTTACAAAGTGATTCAAGTAAATATTTATTTAGAGTAGTAGTAATTACAATTATATTAATAGCATAAGTTAGGTAGTAATAGTTGATTAGTCAGAAAAAAGTTATAGGTACTTATAGTTTTGTAATTTTATACAAAAATTCTTTTGTTTTCAAATATTTAATTAATATAAAATATTAATTAAATAATCTTAATCGTTTTTGTGAATTAATAATAGTTTTTGCAAATTAATAATATTTTCTGCAATGAAAGCAGAGCTCGAACTGGGTCATTAAATTTTAGAGAAATTACAAATTATTGCAGAAATTCAATAATTTTAAAAAGTAATAAAATTCTGCGCAGAAATTCAATTATGTTCAAAAATTTTTTAAAATTTTCTTCAAAATTTCAATTATTTTTAGAAATAATAAAATTCTTCTCCGAAATTCAATTATTTCAAAAATTTTAATAAAATTCTTGTCAAACATTTAATTATTTTCAGAAAATAATAAAAATTTCACAGGAATTTAATTATTTACAAATTTTCTATAAATTTCTTCACAATAATTCAATTATTTTCATAAATAATAAAACATTTACAGGGATTCAATTATTTTCGTAAATAATAAAATGCTTTTTAGGAATTAAATTATTTTCATAAATAATAAAACTCATTGCAGAATTTCGATTATTTTTAATATACAATTTTAATCAAATTCCTTGAAAAATGTAATTATTCTTGAAAATTTTAATAAAATTCGTCTAAAGAATTCAATTATTTAAAAATTTGTTCATAAAATTATTTACGAGATTAGAATTTTAAAAATTATTCAATTATTCAATAAATTATTTTTCTACATTACAAATTATTGCAGAAATTTAATTATGTTAAAAAATAATAAAGTTCTTCTTAGGGATTCAATTATTTTTAATACAATTTTTGAAATAAATGTTTTGAAAAATATAATTGTTTTTTAAAAATTGTTAAAATTTATCGAGGGAATTCACTTATTTAAAAATTTATTTGATAAAATTCTTTATGAGCATTTAATTTTAAGAAACATTCAATTAATAAATTATTTATTTTTATATTTAAATTATTGAATTTTATTAAAATTTTCTAATAAAAATTAATTCAAAAATTAATTTTAGTTGAAATTTTACATAATAATTGAATTTTAAGAGCATTTGAGGATAAATTTTTAGAAATAATAATTTCGAAAAAAATCCAATTGTTTAAACTAAAATTAATTATTTTGATAAACAATCAAAATTTCACAGGAATAAAATTATTTACAAATTTTTTATAAATTTCTTCGCAATAATTCAATTATTTTCATGAGTAGTAACATTTTTACAGGAATTTAATTATTTTCACAAATAATGAAACTTATAGCAGAATTTAATTGTTTTTAATACAATTTTAATCAAATTTCTCGAAAAATCTAATTATTCTTAAAAATTTTATTATTTGTCGAAAGAATTTAATTACTTAAAAATTTGTTGATAAAATTCTTTACTAGCATTCAATTTTAAGAAAGATTCAGTTAATAAATTATTTTTTGTATTTAAATAATTGAATTCTAGTAGAATTTTTCAATAAAAATTTATTTAAAAATGAATTTTAGTTAAAATTTTACATAAGAATTGAATATTAAGAGCAGTTTGGGATAAATTTATAGAAATAATTGAATTTAGAAAAGGTTTAATTTTAAAAATTGGCAAAATTTTAACTATTTTCAAAAATTCTCTACTATTTAATTATTTTCAATATCTAATATTTTTATTAAATTTTCTAAAAGAATCCAATTGTTTTAAATAAATTTAATTATTTTCATAAATAATAAAAATTTGCCACGAATTCAATTATTTACAAATTTTTTTATAAATTTCTTCGCAATAATTCAATTATTTTTATGAATAATAACATTTTTATAGGTATTGAATTATTTTCACAAATAATGAAACTCATCGCAGAATTTCAATTATTTTTAATACAATTTTAATCAAATTTCTCGAAAAATCTTATTATTCTTAAAAATTTTTAGTAGAATTCGTCGAAAGAATTTAATTATTCAAAAATTTGTTAATAAAATTCTTTATGAGAATTTAATTTTAAGAAACATTCAATTATTATTGAATAAATTATTTATTTTTGTATTTAAATAATTGAATTCCAGTAGACTTTTTCAATAAAAACTGATTTAAAAATGAATTTCTGTTAAAATTTAAGATAATAATTGAATATTAAAAGCAATATAGCGTGAATTTTGAGAAATAATTGAATTTTGAAATTAATTTTTTTTGAAAAACTTTAATTGAATTTTTTTTTATATTATTTGAAGTTTTTATTTTCTAATCTATATTTAATTGAAGAATTTACGAATAATTGAAATTCGTAAAATTGAATATTGTAAAGAAATGGATTTGAAAATTGTCAGAGAACTTTTTCGAAAATTAATTGCTTTAAAGAAGAAGTTTAGTTAAAAATTCTTGAAAATAATAATTGAATTGAAAATGATAAAAATAATTTTGAAGAAGTACAATATTCTTATGATATAAAATAATAATTTTTGTCAATTTGCCTTTTTTCATTATTGTAAAACATGTTTTTTATTCTGATAAATTAAATTTTATCATAACTATAGTTATGATAAATTAAATTTTAGCATATAACTATAGTTATGATAAAATTTAATTTATAGTTTTAAGTAAAATGTTTTCTTCTTTGACTCAAACTGGTTAAATTTTGGTCAGAAATTGGTCCATAATTTTTCATTTTTGGTCCATAAAGTTCGCATTTTGAAATACTTTCACTGCTTCGAGCCCTGTGAACAAAAAGTATTGTCCATTTTGTAAAGTGAAACATACTTTACAGATTTGGTAGAAACATTTTTGATGTATGAAACATACGTTAATATTGATTTAGTAGAAACAGTTTTTGAAGTGAAGTATTTACTTTATTGATTTGTAAATATTTTCTGAAGTGAAATATATTTTATTGTTGATTTAGTATAATAAATTGGAGACGAAGAACGAGAGGGTAATTGTGAATGTTGTTTCAGCAGCATCCGAATGCAACGAACAGCAGCGAAACGAGTGTGGGTGGCGTTTCTGGTGCGTGTGGAAGTAGCGGTTTACCTGCGGCAGCGGAAGCGGGATGCAGCAGTGGAGTTGGTGCCGGGACCAGCAGAGGTGGAGGCAGTCACAATGATCAGAGTGGTAGTCACAGTGGCTCAACGCACAGTCACGCCAAATTCAGGCATGGTCTACTCCAACTCATGATCCACACAATCGATCCTCTCCACGACGGTCAGTCCCGAGCCGGTATATCTTCCACACTCTATCACTCTCTCGCTTGCCTGCTTGCCTGTGTATGTATGCGGAATACTGGCTTTTGCTTTGCGTTTGCTGCTTGCTTGCTTGCTCGTCAGCACGCCTTTACAAAAGCTCTATTTTTGACTGCCTGTGTGTGATATATACATATATATATAAAATGCGCCTTGTACTCGATGCTACAAAACATAAAAGCTCGCGCTCGCGCTTCTTTTTTTTTGCCACTCACTCACTATCTTTTTTTTCTCTCTCTCTTTCTTTCTTTCTTTCTTTCTTTCTCTCTCTGCGTTTCTCTCTTTCTCTCTCGAGAACAATATCTCAGAACAAAATTCTAATGGAACCAGTTCGTACAGCATTATCATTTGCAGACAACCCATTTTCGCATTTTTATTTTCCACCGATGAAAATTTTAGAAAACGCTAGTTTTTTGTTATAGTAGAAAATATCTATTTTCTCAAATATATTAATTAAAAATGATTTTTGCAAATTGCTGGAATCACAGTTATAGTCCCCTTTTTTATCTAATCCCTTATTTTCTCTTTTTTATCCCCTTAAATTATTAAAATCCTCCTTTAATAACTAAACTCATAAATTTTCTCCCCCTTTGCAGTTATTTTTTAAAAAAAACTTGTAAAAATTGTCTATTTTTAAAAAGTAAGAAAAATTTTTATTAATACTTGAAGAAAAAGTTCTTACTTTTCGCAAACTTTGGAAAAATTTTAGTATTTTGAAACTTAATCTTTTTTTATTACATATATATTTCTCAGTCTTTAAACTTAGAAATTTTTTCATAAAAGGTAACAAATGTGAAATAATTGTATGACTTACGATAAATCTAAATTATTTGGAATTTTTGATAAATTGTATTAAGACTTCGACAACATTTTTAACTATTTCAAGAAAATGATTTAAATCTTCCATAAAATTATTTTTATAGTAATTTTTAGAGAGGAAGTCAATAGTCAGAAAATATTGTGATCCTTTTTGGATTTTTATTATTTTAAAAAATTGATAGATTTTAAAATCCATTCGTAATTTTGTAGAAAATATGTTTTTGTATTCACAAAAGAAAAATTGACGAATGAAAAAAATGATTTTTTTTATTTTTTGAAGCATTTTTTTGAAAAAAACCATTTTTTTAGTTTGAAAATGCTAAAAAACCATTGTTATTCAGTTTTTTTCGAATGTAGAAATTCACTTGTTTATTTTTTTTAACTAATTTCAAATCATAATTTTGTCAAATAAAAAGTATAAAATACAAAAAAAGTATGATTAAATTATGATTTGAAATATTAGTTAGAAAAATAAACAAGTGAATTTCCACATAAAAAAATTAAATAAATTTGTTTTTTTTAGTATTTTCAAGGTAAAAATATTTTTTTTTTCAAAAAGACGCTTTAAAAAATAATAAAAATAAATTTTTTTGTGAATACGACAACATATTTTCTACAAAATTAAGGATGAATTTTAAAATCTATCAATTTTTAAAAGATTTTACTAAATTCAAAGTCTATTTTATTAATTTTCAACATAATTTACTACACCCAGAGAAAAACTTTATTTGAAACAAATAAAAAGTCTAGTTGGTTCTGAGAAAATTTACTCTGAAAATAACGATTTTTAATAGGAAAATTTATTATTTTCAATGACAATTCTTTTTCCTTCAAAATTATTCAAATTATCCTCGAACATTACAATTAGCTATTAAATATTCTTATTTTTAGAGTAAAAAATTTAAAGAAAGTTACGGACCACGGAAAAAGATAAAAAAACATATCAATGATTAACAGAAAAAGTTTAACAAAAAAAATAATTTTATTTAAAAATACTGAAGTTAAAGGAAAAAGTAAAAAAATATCTTTAAAATAAATTTTATTTGCTATAATACAATAATTTTTACTTAATTTAAAAATTCCCCTTTTTTAAACTAAATCCTCTTTCTGAAAAATAAAATCCTATCTTTTTTTACCTTTTTATTATTACATAAAAAAATCACTGTGATCCCTGAAATTGTTATTAAAATTCTATTAAAATTTCATTAAAATAAATTTTATATTTTAAAGAACTTTATTTTTTCATTTTAAAAAATTATTTTTAAATATTATTGTATTTTTCGAAAAAATTGTATCTACTTAATTTGGAAAATAATTAAATTTTACAAAAATTTTTGAATTTAGGTAAATAATTCAATTATTGTTGAATTCTAATAGGAATTGATAAAAAATTTATTGTTGTCGCTTGTGAGTAAATTTTTCAAAATAGTTTCTGTTTTAGTAAATTTTCTAAAAATTTTCCATCGAAATTGCGAAGTAAATTTTTCTATTACTCCAAATAATATTGCTGATATTAGTAAAAATATTGAAATAAAAAAAAATAATTGTAAAAAAAATATAAGAGAAAAAGACAAAAATAATATAAATAAGCATTTTTATTTGTATTATTTTTTTCTTTTTTATATTTACTTATACTGTCTCAAAATTTTTTTTTTATTTTTAATATTTATGTTAATATAATCAATTCTTTGGAGTAATAAAAAAAATTACTTTTCACTTTCTATATGGAATGTTTATGAAACATTTTTCTAAAATAAACTATTTTTAATTATATATTTTTTTCTTGTTTTAAATGTATGGCAGTAGTTTTAGAAAAGAAATTTTTCCACTTTTATTAAAAATCTCACTTTTTGCTCTAAATCGTAAAGTTTCGTTGGATAAAATTTATTAATCAATTTCACTCGCTGTACTTACACGGAGAAAATAAGTTCGTCATTAAAGTTTTCGTAACTGTAATCAACTATTTGACACGCCATATAAAGTTCGAAAAGAATTAATGAAGAAAAAAAATTTCTTCTTTTTTTCCGATATACAAGTGAACGTTATACGAATTTTTTTTTAAGGTTAGGGAGAAATTTTTATTTAACTATACAAGACAAGTAAATATTTTTGATAAATAATTTATTGAACTTAGAGGAATTTACTACTCACTTTTGAATTACATAGTAAAAATATTTACTATTTTAAATTAGTGACTGACTTTCTGCTATTAAATTAGTAAATTTTACTAATAAATAGTAATTTCTAGAAACTTAATAGTACAATTTACTAATAAATAGTAAATTCTAGAAATTTATTAGTAAAATTTACTAAAAAGCAAAAGTTAGTCACTAATGAAAATTAGGAAAAATTTTTACTAATCCAAATTTAGAGAGTACCTAAAAATTGTACACTGAAAAAAAATTTACTTGATTCAAATATATACTTGTCTATTATCAAATAAATATTTATTTGTATTAAATAATTTTAATTTAAATCGATTAAATTGTGGTTGCTTCAAAAACTAAATCTAAAACTATAAAAAAAACTAAAATTAGGTTAAGTAGAATTTATTTGATTTAAATAAAAATTATTTGTTTCAATAAGTAAATATTTATTTGGTAATGGACCAAATAAAAAACAAATTTTTCAGTATTTCATTTCATAAATAATTATAATTATAATATATTAAATATATGAAATAAATAATAAATAGTTAAAATACATATTATAAAAATACGATTTTTTGTTAATATTTTATTTTTTTATGTAGAATGAAATTTCATTTTTCTATTGAACTTTATTTGTCAATTAAATTTTCACGCAGCTGTAAATCTTTACACATGATTTGATAAAGCAGGCTCTGTAAATTTCATGAAATGTCGCAAGTGAATGAACTATAAAACATACTATAAGTGACGTTTTTATTGACTAAAGAACTATATATTATCTAAAGAAACATAAAAGGTAATTATTACTTAATTCAAAAAAGTTTCATTATAATGTCTTAATATTTTACACTGATATAGTTTATTATCTTTAATTAATGTTATAGTTTCAATATAATTTTAATTTCACTTCTCCAATCATAAGCTTTCGCAAAGTTTTTAAATAATTTTGTTACATAATGTCTAATATTTATTTTATCAGACATTATTTATTATTAATATTTTATTTATTAATATTTATTTATTCATAAGAAAATTTTGAAGTCTTTTTTGTTTGCTTCATAAACTATTAAACTACCACGAATTTTAATACAAAACCTTCAAAATTTTTGTTATTTCTGACCAGAATGAATTTTTTAATATTATTTAATTATTTAAAAAAGTTTTAATGCAATTATCTTGATAAATAACAAGATTCTTCACAAAGATTCAATTATTTTAGGGAATTTAAAAAAAAAATTCTTTGCAAAATTCAATTATTTTTATAAATAACAACATTCATCACAAGAATTCAATTTTTTTTTGAAAAGTAACAAAATTCTTCGAAGAAATTCAATTATTTTTTAAAATTTTAACGAATATTTCGTCAAGAATTCAATTATCTTTATAAATAGCAAAATTGTTCGTCAAAAATCCAATTATTTTCAAAAAATTTAAATAAAATTCCTTACAAAATTTCAATTATTTTTAATAGTTTTTCGCATTTCAATAATTTTTAATATTCACTATTTCTATAAAATTTATCAAAAAATTTAATTATTTAAAGAATTTTTTTAGAAAATTCTACGAAAACATACAATTATTTTCATAAATAATAAATTTTCATTTAGGAATTGAATTATTTTCACGACAGAATTTCATATAATTCAAATTTAAGAAACATTCAATTATTCAATAAAATAATAAAATTTCTTTGCATTGATTCAATTATTTTCATAATTAACTTTTAATTCGTCTCAGGAAATCAATTATTTTCAAAAAATTTTTAAGTAATTTTGCTAAAAAATTCAATTATCTTGGTATACAACAAAATTCTCCCCATAAAATCAATTATTTAAAGGAATTTTAATAAAATTCTTTTCCATAATTCAATTATTTTCATAAATATCAAAATTTATCACAAGAATTTAATTTTTTGAAAAGTAATAAAATACTTTGCAGAAATTAAATTATTTTCAAATTTTTTTTTAAATTCTCGTTAATAATTAAATTATTTTTATAAAGTAGGTAG